GACTTAGGGATTCAGGAATTGATGCCAAAAGTCTGTTCATATAGGTCATCCATACCCCTAAGTATATGAAACCTTTTTACCATCTCTTTATAATGGCTGTCAAGATCTTTCCTTTTGAGAGAACAGCATCGCATCTTAATATTTCTCTGACTTGATTCTATAAAGATGAGGTAATCCACAGAATTCATCATACATGAGATACAGGGCTTGGTTGATATCTGGCATTTGGATGAACAAATTTTGTTATACTCCTGAAGACTTATCCACCTATCACGGAGAATGCCTCCAAATCTAGCTGTAAACTGCGTAAGTACAGTAGGACTTGGGCATTAGGTTTCAGCATCTCAGCTTGTAACCAAGCCTGATTCATACATCCGAGTTCTCCATTTGTGTGGAGGAAGATCATCGACAGTAAAAGTGTGGAGCTTTGCTGAAGCTGTATAAGAGTCACGTTCAGCCGGAGTATGACGAGATTGTCGATACATAGGCGGAGAGTCTGGAATGGAATCATCACCTTCTGGACTACATTGGTTCGATCCTACTCTTGCGTCGGTAGCGAAATCCGTCAGAGACAAGTTGGAGGAGCCTCCAAACATGCGTATGATTTCTTAACTCTAGACATAATTTTCTACAGATTCTTATTTAATGTATAAACTGTAAATTTGTGCCCTGATCTTAGTTCTAAGAAACAATCTATGTTGTAAATAATTTTTGTTTTTCGCTGCCATGACTTGATCGTTTTTGAATACCTTGGCCATTTGCGATCTGAGGAATTGATTTGATAGGCCTTTTACCTCAAGGAAAAGAGGGTGTTAAGTTTGCAATGGTCGTAGTGGATTATGTTACCAAGTGGGTAGAAGTCGAGCCTTTGGCTACCAAACTTCGAACAAATTGAAGGATTTCGTCTGCAAAAACATCATTTGTAGATTCGGAATTCCCCGAACTATAATAACTGACAATGGGAAGTAGTTTGTTTGTGAAGACTTCAAATCTTTCTACGAAAGGCTTAGGATCAAGAAAAGCTTTGCTGCTGTTTATCGGCCTCAAGCCAACGATCAAGTAGAGGTTGTAAATAAAGTGATCAACCACACTATAAAAAAGAAGCTCGATGCCCTTAAAGGAAGATGGGCTGAGGAATTGCCTGAGGCCTTATGGTCTACAAAACAACAGCCAGAAGCTTGACTGGAGAAACCCCATTCTCATTTTCATACAGGTGTGAAGCAATGGCTCTAGTTGAAGTGGGGATTAGCTCATTCTGGAGAGAGGTCTTTAATGAAGAAACAAACAAAGATCTTCTCGACTTGAGGTTAAATCTGATTGAAGAACATCGGGCCAAATCTTAGTTAAAGCTTGCCTCCTATCAATAGCGAGCCAAACGATACTTCAACTTCAAGGTCAAAAATAGAGACTTTAGAGTGGGTGACCTAGTCTTTAGAAAGATTGTCCAAGTTATGTAAAACCTGAACTTAGGGGCACTTGAGCCCAAATGGGAAGGTCCTTTCAAGATCTCTGAAAAGCTTCCACTAGGAACTTTCCACCTGGAACACCTCAAAGGCGAAGCCGTATTGCGAGCATGGAATGCCTAGCATTTGTGAAGGTATTACCAATAAGCAGCTCAGGGTTCAATTATGGTTTGTTTCTCTAATTTGATGTAAGGTCTTTTACAGCTAAGTTTCGTTTATTAATAAAGAGGTACTATTAATAAACTCTGTTTTGTTTGTTATTTTTTCTGTCATTTCGAAATCGTGACCTAAGCAATCACATCCAACAACTGAGTCAAGAGTTCGAAAAAAGACAGCTTAGCTTTATAAGCCTTGCCAAAATTCAACTCATTAAGGGAGAAATCCCCAGAATCGACGAAGTTAAATCTCGGGAAACATTCGAGTAAAACACATCGAAAGAAAATCAGTCATAAGCCGGTGACCAAAACTCGAGATGGACAACTAGTCCAAACTCGGAGTTGTCATACAAAAGATTTTCTTATATGTTCAAAAAGTTCCTCAAGGAGTGAGCCACGCATAACTTAGAATTGTTTTGTTCATAAAGAAGCGGGGTTATGCACAACTTGGAGCAGATTCAAAATTTTTATGTTAAGTTTGATTAGAACGATTTAAACGACTCAGTAGAAATAAAAACATTGCTCATTAAAAATGACAAAATAAATTGTTCATTGATTGTATTAGTTTAGTTACAAGCTAAACTAAAAAAAAAAAAAAAAAAAAAATCTAGACAGTAGGGGCAGGCATTGTTGCCGACTGGAGTAGGAGTATCGTCAACAGTTTCGGGGGCAGGAGCCAAAACATCTTTCAGAGGCTTAACCGGAGGAAGGTCGACGGTGATAGCTAGGAGCGAGGCCAAAAGAGTCGGGTCTTTAACTTCTTGTTTGACCCTAGTTTCCTCCTCATTTTCTTCGATCACCTCCTCATCCTCGATGTTGGACTCAAAGCTATCCGAATAAATGTACGCCATGCTCTAGGCTTTGGTCTTCATCTTGTCGACCTCCTTTTGATAAGCGCTTGGTCGGAAGGAGAAATCAAGCGAGGGGTGAGCTTTCCATAGCTTCTACAGAAGTAAGACCGAGGTGTCCCAAGCATGGCTCTTTATGGTCGAATTCAACTCTTTGATATTGAGCTTGAGCCGGATAGCCTCTGACTCAGTTTCTTTGTAATCCTCCACTTCCTTGGATAGCTCACGTGAAGCCTCTTCATACTTGGCCTCCCAGTCCGAGGTAACCTTCTCAACCGTGGTAAGCTCAGAATTTAGCTTGTTATTGGCACCTCGTGTTAGAGTAGGTGCCCTAGAGCCAATCAATTATAGTAGAATTGACTCTTTGTAATAATGTTCATTGATCAATAAAAGACATTTTATTATATATCGTGTAAATCATATCTGTATATATTGGTATATGTCTTTAGGATGGTAGAATCGTGACGAGGGTATCAAGTGTTTCAAATCTTGATAGTGAGAACTCTATGATCACATATGGTGGCCATTCTAGAAATGTTCATAGCCCCAATATTATTCTGACTAAGGACACAGAGAATATGGTAAGACTATCATAGTGTTGAATAACTCTGTCGAAAGGTAGTGACTGATCTCACTTGTCAAGGTTGTTTGCCGACAACCTGGTCCAACACATCGGTGCTTGCTGGAGGCAAGTTAATTAGACTGACCCACCAAAGGATTCCATATAGATGGTAACCCTAGTGTTTATGGAACAAATCCTTTAACGAATGGTGGTGCATGTGATCCTTAGACTTGAGATCACCGGAGCGCCTTGTGCATCGATTGGTGTAGTTTGACACTAGCCCAACGTAGTTCCATTCAGAACTGTCAATACGGTAGTGATTGGCTGCATCGAGGATTGTATTAAGACTATGGTAGATCAACAAAGGATTCATCACTCCTAGGTACGGGAGAAGTTATCTTACTGCACAATTTAGTAAATGGCAATGACACCAAAGCTGTGGCCACAGTGGGATTGAGTTGTTACTCAATCTAATTTATTATTCCGCTCATTGGTCTAGTAACTGAATACAAACATATCGAGAGTAACTGAGGTTAACACTATTTCTGTACCTCAGTCTCAATGAGAAAACAGATGATGAAAGGATTTGATTGCACGGTAACCATATCGTTGATAGGTAGCTATTGTGTTGAATCCGAATCTATCGGGTGGCCATGATGCCTTGCTAGGGGTCAATCTTAGCCTGTGTGTAGTGAGACGATTAATTGGTGTTAATTGTGATACTACTCACTGCCGGTATGATGAGGAACCTACGGGTCACACACATAGAAGATAATTTGAGAATCAATTTGTGTAAGGGGTATTTTTGTCTTTTAGGATGAAAGGGTATTTTGTATTCTCACAGTGCAATTAGATTTGCTGAGGTTGTTGCTTAGATTTAATATTAAATCAAGTAAGTGAGGTTATATTTAAATATATTTACGTATATATTTAAATGAATTATTATTATTATTAAATGTTAATAAATTTGATAAATATATTAATTGATTTTAATTACAATAATAATAATTAAAATAAAATATGAATTGAGAATGTTTGGACACAAGGGCTAATTTGGGTTGGAGCCCAAGCCTATCCCTAAAGGGATTAGGGTTTTCACACATGCACTATATAAATGCATGTGTGTTGAGAGATAAAAGTCTAATCTCATTATTATTCAATCATTGAAAAGCAAAAGGCTACCCTCACTCTCTCTCTCTTTTACTCTCTCACACCACCCTTGCGTTTTTGAATCAAAGTTTCTCTATCTCTTGCCAGCCCATATGAGTGCCTTCGAATATGGGGTAGCTCTCATCGAGGAGAAGCTTGGTCACCACGCAAGCCTGAAAAGATAAGAAAGTTAGTCGGGAATAAAGAGAGAAGCCCATAAGAAAGGAACAAGGGCAAACTGTTAATACCTTAGTCACATAGTTGCATGCCCAAGCAAGTTGCTCGTGAGGGAACACATCTTTGAGCCCCGCATAAATCCGCGGCATGATGACCTCCCTGGCCGTTGAGGCCCTTACGCCGATGTACTTGGGGAACTCATCAATCATCATGTCAAGTGCAGCCCGAGCTACCTCGTCTGCGTTTTCTTTACCTACTTGCATAAGCAAGCTTGATCTGCTTCCCATGAGGTCGACAATCTCACCCGCAGGAATGGACTTCTTTTTGGTCAAGTCCTTGGCCACAATTTTCTTTGGGCCTTTAGCTTGCTCAACAGTCTTCTTGCCCGAGCTGTCCTATTGCTTGACAACCTTGTGCTTTCTCGAGCCCCCCTGCGGCTCGATCGACTTCTTTTGGCCAGAGCCTTCCTACTACTCAAGCATCTTCTTCTTCCCCAAGCCTCCAGCCAGCTTAGAGGTTTTCTTTGTCGGGCCCTTTAGAGGCTTGGGGGCACCTTTCTTCCTGATTGCCTTGGAGGCAATCACGGGCTTCTTGGCACTTAGGTCTTTCCTAAGCTTGCCACCACTACTTGAGCGCCCTACTAGTATCAGCGGGCTGCTTCTTCGCCAGAGTAATCGGCGGTTTCTTGGCAGCCCCAAGCGTTGGTGCCTTCTTCTTTAGGCCTTGGGTTTTTCGGCTCACATATCTACAAAAGAAGAAGCAAGTGGTTAGCAACCTAACAAAGCAAGAACAAGAACAGTGAGCTATTAAGCACTTACCTTTCTAAAAAATGATATTGAACTTAGCTTTGTCGACACAAAAGCCGTACGTTTTCATCCGAGAAAGCATGATAAGCTCGGTAACATTACACTTGTTGTCGAGGAGTTGTTGAAACATTGAAACCGTTCTAAGCTCACTTCAAGAAAGAAGTTCTGCTCGATGTTTACTGCAAAACAAAGAGAATCGGTTAGTTTGCTTGTCAAGCTTGGAAACACTCTTTGTACGCACAAAGATCGAGGTCTTACTAGCTTCCGAGGCAAAAACGCCAGTCTCCCCAGCCTTATAAAAGAAATACTAAGAGTCCCAATGCTAAATTTTCTTTAAGACGTCGACCAAACCGTTAAATTGTACTTTCTTTGCCTTAGAAAGGTAGTATGTTTGGTCCTGACTCTTTTTCAGCCTATACAAGTGGACAAGCTCTTCTACAATTAACTCGCCCAAGTCAACTATTTGCTACGTCATATATATGCCTAGAATAATTATATACGAGTTCGCTAACAACTGAAGGGGATCGATGTCAAACTATTTCAAAACGTTGGTGATGAAGAAATGAGGGGGAATGGACATCCTACACCTCAAGAGGGTATCAAAGACTGCCATGCAACCGGTGGGGGGATTTTTCTGGGAAAAGCACCTCGGAACCCTCAAAGGAAGTTGAGGCACATAAACCTCGGTAGACCTGGCAAAACGGGTGCGTAGGTCGGGTGCGGGTCGGGTCCAAACGGGTACAGGCCCAATGCGGGTCGAGGTATACGGGTCCAAAATATTGGACCCGTACCCTACCCTATACGGGTACGGGTGGACCCGCAGGTACCCATTTTTTCTCTCTCCAGATTTTAATTTTTTTCACCCCCAACAGTTTTCAATTATGACAGTTACACCCCCAAAATTCCTACAATTTTATTTTTTTACATGTACACCCCCTAAATCAACTACTCTAAATGCAATTCAATTTAGAATATAAACAAATAGGAACCAAAACAAACAAATAACAAATAAACAAACAATAACATATAATACAAAACTACAAATACCAACCAAAATAAACAAATACATAATCATTAATACACAATTACACATAAACAAACAAAACAAGTCAATAAACTATAAATACCAACTAAAATAAACTAATACATAATCCAATATTCAAGAAAAAACATTCTTAGCATGTTGGTTAGAGTTTTCAACTAAAAGGTCCCTTATCTTCTCATTGTAAACCTCCAACATGCTAACAAATAGCTCATATCTCATGACACCAGTTTTGTCTTTGGAAATATGAAATAACTCCTCTAAAGTCCTATAGTTCACTCCTCTATTTTCAGGTGTACCCTCCATGGTAAATGTCTTCCCAGTTCCAGTTTGTCCATATGCAAATATGCAGACATTATAGCCATCCAGTCCTAAAGTCACAATGGGTTTAGTTTGTGCAAAAACAGCCTCTGCATATATTAGAAACCCAGGATTAAATATTTAAACAGTTCAATATCCATTATAGCAATTGCTTTGCATTGTAAAAATCATTCATGAGATCAGGGATTACCTTGATTGTCCTTGGGCTTAAACACAAAATCAAACTTGAATTTCTTTTTAGAAGAATCAGAAGAAACAATTTGTAGCTCATTTTCTTGATAAGAGTCAAATTCAACAACAGAACTGGACCCATTAGTAATTTCAGCTTGATTTAAAGGTCTACATCGGCTGAAGACCCTAATATTGCCTTTCAGCTCAATCACTTCATTGTAAAGCCACTTTCGTTCAGAGGACTCATATATGTATTTCTTTTTTAAAAGCTTATATTCATTACCTAATGCCAAAAATAGCAATTAAAATACTAAAACAAAAGAAAGAAAAAAAGGCGAGAAACAATTGCCAAAATCAGTATCTGATTCTCATTGAGAATATGAAGATTGTCTAAAACACTAGGGCCAAGAAAACAATCAGTATTCATGTTCTTCACTTGATCTGAAATACTTGAGTGATCTCTCTTCAAATCCTATAACATAAAGCATCAACATTAATCCCCAAACCAATAAAAAAAACAAAAACAAAGAGAAGACTCTAAATTTTACAGAACTTGATACCAAACAAAGCAATTACCTACACTAACAAATAAACTGAACACAAATCGTTCATTTTCTGAAACTCAATTGCCTAAAATAAGACTAAACTATCCTACTTCTGTCAGCAAGAAATAAAGTGAAAGTGATACAAGAAGCGCCATTTTATCTGAATCTTATTGCTCAAACATATAATCTTCTGTAATATTGGAAGGGTTGGCCCTTGAGCTAGAAAAATTTCTCGGTTTGTGTTCGATAAACCATCCTCATCCATGAAATTGCTACTCTCTTCAACTAGCAACAAATAAAGCAGTCAAAACCCTCACTTCGGTCACTAAAGATCTTAAAAAATAATGTTTTTAAATCACATGATTTCATCTTTTAGAGACCCAATCGAACATTAAACGAGCTCAGTAGCCGATCTCACTGGTAACAAAAACAAGAACCAACTCCTTCAATCATGATGTTATCTTTCAATAATTATTCTATACAAAACATTAATGGTTGAAGAAACACAGTCAAATCTTCCCTATCAAGATTGCATATTTCATTGTTCACTTCACAACATTAGTAACGATTTGTAACCATGTCAAAGGAGGAAAGAAAATCATAACAAATACAGCTGAAATACCATTAAATTTCTAGGCTTAACAAAATTTAAAGATAAGAAAACAAAAAGACGAAGATTAAGCTTAGTAAGGGGTTCAATATGATAACAAAAGCTCATAGAGATTTTGGTTATAAGCACAAGAATCACAACCTATCCAAACATATGCTTAGAGCCTCGGACCAATCCAATCAAGGTCTTAAGATGGAGTCTCACATCTAAGAACATCTAGTTTAGCTCTAAAACTCAGAAATTTGAACATTTTTACACAAGTACATACTACATACCCTTAATGATGGTGTCTTGCGACGGAGAGAGACAGGAGATGATGAGCCGACGCCCAACGACGACAAAGAGAGGAGATGACGAGCCGACGAGGATGAATGATGGCGATCAGCGACGGTGGGTCTGGGAATGGGATCACGGTTCATGGATGAGAGTGATGACTGATGATGACAATGATGAGAGTCTACTGAAGTGAACACTGAACAGAGTGATGAGATGAGAGATTGAGAGAATGAATCAGTGACAATGATGAGAGATTTAGAGGCGCGAGAGAGAAGAGAGAGTTTGTTTTAGAGTTGGGTGGCGTTAGTGCCTTAGTGGGTTAGGGACTTAGGGTTCAGCTTTGAAAAAAACGGGTACCCACGGGCACCTACGGGTTTACCCGTCAAAAAACGGGTCAGGCCGGGTACGGGTGGAAATTAAACGGGTCCAACATATTAAACCCATGCCCTATATTTTTTACCCAGGTACGGGCCGACCCGCGGGTCTGGACCCGTTTTGCCAGGTTTAAACCTCGGTTATGCGCTTGATATCTTTGGCCCTACGTTTCCCAACCGAGGAATGTGGTTCTTTCCGAGGCCTATGAATTGGAGACTTCTTCGGTGGAGGAGTGTCCATGGAAATATGGTCAGAAAAGCCCACTACATCGGGATCCAAGCTTCGTACAACGAAGTCCTCAAAAACCTTTGGGATTATGTCCTTGAGAATTATCGAGCCCGTCGAAGAGTTAAACATGCGGTCTATACTGTGGCTATTTGATGAAGACATGGTGATAACTCACCTCTGGGTACTTGAAACAGAAGCGAACAAGTGTCAAAGTTCAAAAATTCAGTGACTTATCAACACTTTGCTTTCAATTCAGGCACCCAAGGTGGCTCGCGTCAGACAACATACACAAATGAGCTACAAGGATTCTAGTGGCCGCCTCCGTAAACCTTCCTTAAACCCAAAATCGAAGAAAACACTCAAAAAACCCTAAAAAAGCCCTAAAAAGCTTAATGTGACCACGACAATGGCCACCCTCAACCACAAAAGGTGTAAAAATAAGTAAAGGAGGAGAAGGAAGCCTTACCGAAGTGTAAAAGTGGAAGAAACTCACCAAAAAAGCTCTGTGAAGTCGAAAGAGTAACGACGGAATAAGAGCAAAGAAGGTTTGAGAATTTTCGCAAAGTGTGTATGTCTTTAACAAAGTTGCCCGCTTTTATAATAGTGTGCATAGGAGACAAAGGGGCAGGATATTGTAACCGTCGATCTAAAGTGAATCTCAGCCATTCATTCGTTAAGCAATCGTAGCCATTGGACGTGGCCATGTGTCAATCATACACGAAGGTCGATCAATCGTTAGAACTGTTTCAATCATAACCATCACTGCACGTCACCTTGACTTCGCACGTGGACTATTGTGGTCGCCCATGCGCGACGAAAAGTAATTGCCAAAGGCTACTGCATTTAATGCGACATGACTTCGTGGAAATTACACACATGCCCTTCATTTCAAAATTAGAGTTTGTCAAGAATATCACAGCAAAGAAAAGGTCAAGTATTGATTACATCGATCGGATATGAGTCTGACTCAGGAAGCTTGGTCAGATCTTTCTTTAGCGCACAACCTTTGAAATCTGAGCTTGACATCAAATCGAGCATTTAGTCTTTGAAGCTTGAAACGAGCATCGAACACTAGGGAGCAGATGTTGTGTGTGATTTTTCCATCAGGCTCAGAAAAGTCATAGGTCAGCGAAGTTATAACCCGATCCAGAATTAGTTCGACTCAATCAATCGTCCGACCTTAGCATAAGCTCTTCGAGATATAGCTCGACCTAGCATAAGCTAGTCGCAACCAATTTTGACAGCTGTTCAACCAGCTCGCAGATAACCTCAGATCCTGGATATCTTGGAAGTGATCAGATTGGCAACAATCTTGGCGTAATCTTATCGCTTAATTGCAAGAATATCAGAGTTGCATTTTAATCTTAATTGTAATCCCTTTATTTTCGCTCTTTCCTTTGTACAAAATCTGTATATAAACCCCCTCCAACGATGAGAAAAGGGTTAGCAAATTGTTCTAGGAATATCATTGTAAGCTCTCACAGCAACAAAGAACAGTGGACGTAGGCTCAAGATTAAAACTTGTGGAACCACTTTAAAAACTTTCTTGTCATTTTACTTTACTGCATTCCATTCATACATTGTTAGTTATCCTTAATCACGCATGCATCAGTTCCGATTCCGTCAAGGTCAATCGGATCACTCTAGTTGGTGTGTATCTCGTATCAACAAGAATTAAGTTTTTTTATTATGTTAAAGTTATCTGTGTTGTGAATTAGGGCAAACACTGCACGAAAATGTCACAAGGAACCCACACAACAGAGGAAACAAGCAAGAAATAATAAGAAGGAATAAAAGAGTTAACGATTTTTTCTCATCCAAAAAATGGTTTAATGACACTCTCCCACCCTCAAACTTTTAAAATACTACTTTTCCATCCAAAACACAAATTCTATTGATAATTCCCTTGAAATATAATAATACTAATTGTAAAGATAAAAGTACCCCCACAAAATTTCAATCCCTAATCGCCAACCACCATAAATAAAACTTTCGCGCACAACTCCAGTCGACTTTGACCACCACAATCTGACCCTCTACCACCAAACGAATCACTGGCCATCCCTCTTTAATAGCCCTAACAATCTGGACCGTGATAGCTCACCAATCGCCAGAAACTGTGGTTTAGTCCTTTTGTTGAATGATCGGCGTCCGATAAATGGTGAACAACCAAGGTCTAGGATGATGGGGCTTTTAGAGAGGAGATGTCTCTAATGCTACAGTTGGCTTCAGGTGGAATTTTTGGCAACCAAATCGGCCAGAATCTAGCCTAGAAGCTCAACGGTCGCGCGAACAAAAACTAGCGGTGGCCGCAATTGGTGTGCTCAGTGTGGTGGGAAAGTGAGGGGTTTTTGTGAGTGAAGGATGGGGAAGCTGAGGGTGGAGTCGGCGTTGATCAATGGCATCAGAATCATGCCAAACTGCCTAAACCGGCCTGAACCAGCGATTAGGGTTTGGAAAGATATCCAGCCAAAATGACAATATGACCATTTTGCCTTTCCTTTTAACTAGCTTTTGACCATCTTGCCCTTCTTCACAACAAAAATTACTAACAGATTTGTGTTTTGGGTGGGAAAATGGTATTTTAAAAGTTTGAGGGTGGGAAAGTGTCATTAAGCTATTTTTTGAGTGGGAAAAAATTGTTTACAGAGAATAACAACACAAAAGTTATATTGGTCGGTCACAAATTGTTAACCTACATCCACTCACTGTTGGCAACTCAACCCACTATGAAGAACCAAGATTACAAGTTTTTCAAGACTTTACAAGAATAAAAAAATAAACTCTAGCTGCTAACTCCTCATCTTTTCTCCGCTTCCAACTCTCACGTTAAATATAGGAAACAAATCCTAGAGGGTGTTTGTCTAAGTTTATAAGTTGGTTTGATCAGCCTATAAGCTCTAAAATCAAGCTAACCCTGTTTATTTATAACTTTTTTGGACTTATAAGCAAAAAAAAAAAAAAAAAAAAAAAAATTTTGGGGTTAACCTACTTTTTTTTAAGCTACTTTGACCAAATATATTACCCCATTACCCCTATTTAATTTTAAAATTCCATCATATAACCTTATCTTTATATTTCAAACAAATCACGCTTCTATCACTATTATTCATATAATTTTAATAAAATATTTGTCTATAAAGTATTTGTTTATTTAATTCTAAAATTAAATTATATTGTACTATGATCGAAATATATTTTGTAATATTTTAGTAAAAAATTGAGTTAATATAATTTATTATTTGATAAAATAATGTGGTACCCTTTTTAGTCATTTTAATAATAAAATGTACTTGTAAGCCACAGTTTATCAAAATGTCAACTACTTATCAGTCACTTATAAGTACTTTAACCAAACACGTAATTGCTTAAAATTTCAAATGTTTGTAAGCTCAAATTACCTTATAAGCATTGACTGCTTATAAGTTAATTTTCATAAGCTCGGCCAAACAGGCTCCAATTTGACTAGGACTTTAGTAAGCTATTCTTATCTTCTCAAGACTTCCCAAGGATATCCAGATCCTATAATAATGAGAATCTTATCTTAATTTAGTCTTACCAAAGATAACTTAATTATATGATAATAACGTGATCTTATCTTACCAAAGATAACCTGTACATCACTATTTTACATGTAACTTGGGCTCCAAGAAGAAGTTACAAACTCACGGACAGAAGTTTGCCGAAAATAGAGATAACTAGCGAAATCAGATTTGTTGAAAATTGCCATCAGTCAAAGACGCAAACTTCCGATTCTTCGCTATTCAACAAAGAACTTAAACAATGACTTATGTTGATCCACACTAACACATCTCCACCTTGGATATAAGTTACTCCTAGCGAAATGAGATTTATTATGCACACACATCCGAGCTAATACCATAAATTTGTTTTGCAGTCATAGTTTGGTCGATTAAAAAAACAAGTAGAAGGACAAATATTATTGAATGATGATGAAATATTTGAAGAGATCCTTGGTCCATAGAAGAATGGCTATTTGTGTGCTTATGGTCCAAGAAAAAGTATTACCGAATATTTTGGAAGTAGACCAACTAAAGCACAACTTATGAAACAAGTACAAACAACTAGGAAGGAAGCAAATGAAAGGGTGGAGGAGGCAAAGAGGGAAGCAAATGAGAAATTAGAAGAAGTGAAAAAGCAAATGGAGGAGATGAATAGACGATGGGAAGAGAAGTTCATGATAATGCTTACAACTCAAGGTCAACAATCTTCAATAAATAACCAAATTCTTTTGGATGAAATTGTAAGTTATTTTGAAAATTGCATATATACTATGAAAACCATTTTTCTTTTACATTAATCATAAAGTGATATGCAATGATTATATTAGTCTATATGATTAATCTAATTTTTTTTTCTAATTTGATATTGCAAGTTGGTGGAAATTCTTAAATGGTCAGGAAAGATTGCTATGACATTGAAGATTCATATTTTGTAAAAAAAAATTAGTTGATAACATTTTAAATTACTAGGATGAAGGATTTTATGAGTAGACAATTATTTGGTTGGAAATGACTTTGTTAATGTATAACTTTTTATGTTAGAAATTTTCATATGACATCATATTATCTATTTAATATAAAAGAATTGCTATAAATTTGTAATTATTATTAAATTTGTTAATTATAGCAATATTTGTACAATTAATTTTAATTGAAGCAATAAATTATAAATTTTTTATATAAATTATTTGTTCCATAGCAAATAATTATAATATTTAGCATAGCAAATAATTATAATATTTAGCTACAAATTAAAAGTATTTATAGCAAGTTTTTTCAATATTTAACTATTAACAAACTATGTCCATAGCAACTGAATTTCACATATAGATATGACTTCAATATATCCATAGCAAATAATTATAATATTTAGCTATAAATCAAAAGTAATCATAGCAGATAATTTCAATATTTAGCTATTAACACACTATGTCCATAGCAATATCTTTTCATATACAGATATGACTTTCATATGTCTGTAGCAAAAAAATTAATATTTAGCTATGAATTCACTATATATGTGGCAAATGATATTTTTATTTAGTTACGATTTTAGTTGTCACGTAGCCAAAAGGTTAATATATTTGCTATGGATATTATTTTTGTAGCAGAAATTTTCAAGATTTAGTTATAAATTTA